TCACCCAAACATCGAGGATTGTAGAGAACTTTGTGACTATACTGAATGCTCTCAGGGACAGGAATAAAGTGGTCCTGCGCTGGCTTCCAGGTCACTCTGAAGTTGAGGGAAACGGGCAGCAGACAAATTGGCAAAGGTTGGTGCTAGGGAAACCTTTATTGGACCCAAACCCTTTATAGGGATGGCATACGGCCTGGCAAAGCTCTCTCTGCTGAACAAAAGGATACATGTCTCCCGAGAAGAGTGGCTACAGAGTAAGAGCATTCAAAATCTTGAGCATTCAAAAGCCCTGATAGTTGCCTACAGTGCCAAATACTGTAGAGAAGCTCTTCAGAATGCTCATTAGAGTCTTAACAGGACATTATGGCTTGAACAAGCACATGTTAAATATTGGGCAGAGAGAGAATAGAGAGTGTAGATTCTGCCACGGGGCGGATGAACTCCTGCTCATCTTCTCACCCAATGTTATCCCCTGATCGGCGTACAAAACTCCATACTAGGAAGGCATATGCCACAGGACCAGATACCAGAGGACTTTAAATCTGTTGGAGCCAGGAAAGTCCTTCAGTTCTTCAATGCTGTCGGTCTTGGCTCCGAACTGTAATTAGTGTCACATGAAAAACACCGTCTTTCGCATAGAAGCATAAAAATCACAGACACCGGTGTCAGCAAAAGTGCCGAATGCTCTATAGCAAGGAAGAGGTCAAAATGAAGTCCTGAACACATTATAATTGCCTTACTCATTTACTTACTTTGTAGTGTTTACTGTTGCAATTAATAATTTACCTTAACTGTCCAGATGTAAGACTTATATCCAGTTAAGGTTATGCAATTACATAATTTATTTAAATAGTTGAATGGTTTTTAAAATAAATACATTTAAATAATTACTGTACTTGCTACTGCACCTGTCAGCTTGAGACATAAACTGTATCAAGTGCAAATGGCAAGTGATAAAAACCCCACAACAACTGGAAAAAAAAAAGAAAACAAAAAACATTTTTCTAATTGTGGGTGCAGTCTGATACATTGCAATATGATTAGGCGGTTGATTCCATCATCCACAAAACAGAAGATCTCCTTTTAGAAGAGTTCGTCCAGGGAAGTATTGCCTCCTTTTCAGCTGCCAAGCAGTAGAGTAAAGGTTGCTGGTGAAATTATAGGCACATGGGACTTACCAACGTATGTCGCCGGGTGACAGGTGCTGTGGCAGCGCCCTGATATCTTTGCGATTTTAAACTCAGAGTGGCTCTGCAACAGTCGCTTCCTACCCCAGGCGCACGACTTATTGGTCTCGTCACTTACATTTCAAATTCAAAATTGTTTATTGAAGACTACATGGATCCATGGTGTTAGTACATTACAAGAAAACTCTACAGCTATGTCAGTAATAATTTTACATAATACAATAATAAAATAAAATAATAATAATTAAATAATACATACAATGAAAAATCGAAATTAATTACTAAAAACTAAGCCGACATCCAATGCCTCTGTAGAGCACTGTTCAGTCTATCGACTAATATCCTATGTTTAGCATCGTAAAAAACACTTATAAAGTTTGTGTTTATTGTTAATTTCTATATTCCAGATGTTCTGCATCCAAGAACCCGATCCCCACAAAGATCCGTTCTCAGAAACAGATCCACTAAGCAGCACTGTCGTCTCTGAGTCCAGTGACGATGAGCCATCATCGAAACGCCTCAAAACCTCCTACACATCGCCCGGAATCAATCTGAAAGTCTACCAAATACCAGCATTTACCAACAAATCATTAACTATATACCCTTCACCACCTACCTCGCTACCGCAGTTCGTCGGCAATCCATTAAATCTAGCCAATCCGTTAACTTTAACCAATAACTTAAATAACCATGCGAATAACATTGTGAAGAATTTACAAAATCGGTATTCCTTACCGGCTAAATTGACTATAACTCCGATACAGAGTCCTAAACCTGCAGTGACGAATACAGGTGAGGTTATTCGGTATAAGAAAAATGGAGAGGTAGCAAAGAAAAGGGGACCACCTAAAGGGTACAAGAGAAAGCCGAAGGACTTGTCTCAGAGTTTCTCTAATGGAGCTTTATTACAGGTTTGTTATCCATTTTTTAAGTACTGGGGTCAGAACCTAAACTATAGTGCACTTCTCTTAAGGGTAAGTAGGGAGGGTCACGATAATCAAAACTGACTTAGAAAGTTACTATAGTAGATATTATAGTAGGGTGCCTCTGAAGTAATTACGGCGTTTGAAAAAAAAACCAGAATTAACTTTATACTACGTACATGTAATTTTTTCCTTGGGATTTTTTTGTGTTAAGTTAATATAAAAAAGTACGTGTTTCCAATTTTTTTTGGTGGTGGGTGTTCCAATTTTTTTATCTTGCCTAAGTGGGCGGTGAGTCAAAGAGTTTGAGAACCTATGACTTATAGTATAATAATAATATGAATAAATGAATAAATTTCTTTCAGGCCCAGAACACAATTTTGACGAGTCTTCTAGCAGCATCTAACACCACAATAACCTCAACCAACACCATTCCAACCACATCAACCAATTTGACTGCTCTGACCACACTGCCCACGTTGCCACAGCAGTTGACTGTTGTACCACAGATCACAGTGCCTGAAGGTAAGTACCTGATGACATACTGCCAATGAGTTTGGCAGAGACTAGGAACTACAGGACAAGAAATACAATTGTAGTAGAAGTTCTTGTGTTAGTTTTGATTTTCGTGTTTTCAGGCGTCGAGCTCGTAGAACTCCTTCTCGATCCTGAAGACTGGTTTCCTTCCGAGCCTTACAAGATGGTGTTTAGTCGCAAGAAGAATCCCAAGTGGAAGAACTTCCCGTATCGATGTGAACATTGCTTTAAGGTAAAATTTACCAAATGGTAGTTTTTTTTAGGTACTGGCAACACTAAAACTGTTTATGGCCTACACTTATTTCTCTCGTGAGTTTGGGTGTAAGTTGTGGATGTCTATGTGTGTGTCCATGACACCCGCGACACAGGGTTTCCCTAGTGCGGGACTATGTTGAGTGTGTGAAAATGATTTTAGGGTTACCGCGTAGTGTCGACCCTGCTGCAACACGCTGCAGAGCGCCACGGCTCCGTGCCCAAGGAGCTGGCCTTCCCCTGTCCCTGCTGCCCGCACGTGTCCACCCGGCGCAAGCACCACAAGAAACATCTCGAGACTCACGAGGGACGGCGGCACAGGATATTCTGCCTTTACTGTCTACCGCCACGTGAGTTACGCTCAATTTATTTACAATACCAGCTGTAGCACTGTGGCGCTCTTTTACGACTTTGGAAGCATTGGTGGCGCGGTATTCACTGTCAAAGCAACCGAGAATCGCAAAAGGCTCCAATACACCAACATCTAGTAGTCGTAGAAAGTGCGTTTAAGGTTCAGAAGAAGTATGCAGCTGTATAACGTTGTTCAAAAAACTAAACATACTGCCTTTGCCGTGCATGTACATTAGAGATATCTGCGTATTTGTCAAAACTTATCTTCAATATTTCAAAACTCGTGGTAAAATTAATCAAAGGCAGACTAGAGCAAAAATTATGAATCTTTTGTACTAACCTCGTTGCTATCCAGGAGCTACTTTTAGTCAAATTATTACACTGTTAAGTGATTGCAACTTTGATAAATATACAACAGTGATTCTTATAATAGGTGATAGTACTAACATTAGTAAAAAAGAAGTAAATAGTAGCATTGACGTGTTCTTGAGAATTCATGAGAAGTGTGGGTGTAAATTCATACTAAGTGCATTCCCTTACTGCTCTAACCTAGGCATCGCTCGTAATAAGTATATATATAACATAAATTCGCACATACATAATTTGACTTGCCGTCATAGTGACGTTATATTTTGTTTTGACATTAATAAGTTCGTAAGGAACTTCAAACTTTTTGAGGATAATTTACTTTTACCCCTAAGGTATCTAAGACATATAGCTAGTTTGCTATCTTTTAATATTAAGGACGCTGTTATAGAAGATATAACACAGTCCCACGACAATGCTCCTACTTTAAGTAGCAACAGTATACATTTTACTAACCATAATTTAAACTAAAAAACACGACAACAGAAAAGTCTAATCGTTTCCATGTAGTACATCAAAATATTCAAGGCTTTTCTGGCAAAATATTAGAAATAAGTCTTTTTTTGCACGATATTTCCGTTGACGTGTTTTGTGTTACAGAACACTGGCTGAAAGATTACGAAGCCATTAACAATATAGAAAATTATGTAATAGTCAGTTCGTTCATAAGAAAGAGCTTAAGTAGAGGCGGATCCATGATTATTATTAAGCGTAACTTAAAATTTAAAGAGCGTAAGGATATCACAAATCTTTCTACTGAACGAACTATTGAGATTTCATGTGTGGAATTGGATCAGTTTGTCGTCTTATGTGTATACAGGCCCCCCTCTGCTAATTTTAACGAGTTTGAATTAATTATGGAAGACAGTTTAAAGCGGATTTTTCCAACCAAAAAAAACGTAGTAATATGTGGAGATTTCAATGTAAACCTGTTGGAAAACTGTTCTACTTCTGTAAGACTCATTAATTTATTTCAAAGTTTTAACTTGATTAATCTTTTTTTAGAACCAACTCGCATTACTGCCTCCTCTTCTACTTGTATTGATAACATCTTTTGTAACACAGACGCAGTGTCTAAATCAATAATAAATTGCTTAAGATCCGACCATAGTGGCCAATTGGCTTCTTTTAATTGTAAAATGAGCAAGAAGGTAGACCAATTTCTCTGCAGACCGATTACCACAGAACGAATAATTAGATTTCAAAATAATATCGGCAACAGTTTAAATTCCCTATCCCATATACCGGAGGATCCAAATACTTTATATAACACGATATTTGGTTTAATTAAAAATGAATTTGACAATATATTTAAATCGAAAACATTAACTTTCCATAGAGAGACTAAATTCAACGACTGGGCAACAGTAGGTATTCATAAGAGTAGGTCTCGTTTGTATGAGCTATATGCTATGAAAACTTATAATACTAATTCCAATTTCATAGAATATGTTAGAATTTATTCGAAAATATTTAAAAAAGTTTGTGTAGCTGCTAAGGTTAAGTTTCACAGCGACAAAATTAGACAATCGATAAATAAATCTAAAACTACTTGGAGCATAATAAATAAAGAGTCAGGCAGGGTTAAACTACACGATAGAGATATAGTTTTAGAATTAGACAGCAAACTTATAAAATCTAAAGATAAAGTAGCCCAAGCTTTTGAATCGTTCTTTTCGGAAATTGCTGTGAACACTACAAAATCATTAAATTCCTCCCCTTCACTTGCTATTGATCTCCTAAAGGAAAATGTTAACGTTTGTGGCAGTTTATTTAATTTTCGTCATGTTAATCCACAAGACATCATAAAAGCTTTTAAGTCAATACATGTTAAAAAAACTGAAGATCTCTGGGGCATATCAACTAAAGTTATAGACTCAGTTATTAATCTCATTTCCCCACAGTTAGCTGTAGCTTTCAATAGGTGCGTTGACGAAGGTGTTTTTCCCGATTTAATGAAATACAGCAAGGTTATTCCCTTATCCAAAAGCGGTAGGAAAGTTGATCCTAGCAACTATAGGCCCATTTCAATTTTACCAGCTTTAAGTAAAATATTCGAAAAGGTTATGCTAACTCAATTACTGTCCTTTTTCGGTAGGAATCATATTTTTCATAGTGAACAATACGGGTTTACTAGTGGTAGATCGACTAGCGATGCGGGGGTAGCGTTACTAAAACACATCTTTGATGCTTGGGAAAGGTCCCAGAACGCTATTGGTGTTTTCTGTGACCTCTCAAAGGCATTTGATTGCGTTGATCATAATACTCTTATTAGTAAGCTGGAACATTACGGTGTAAATGGCAAGGCGTCGAAACTTGTCTCGTCATATCTCAACGGTAGAATTCAGAAAGTAGGCATAAATGGAGCGACTTCTTTGGGTTCTCCAGTAAAAATGGGTGTTCCGCAGGGCTCAATACTTGGACCTTTCTTATTTCTGATTTATATTAATGATCTGCCATTCTTTGTTAAGGACCATTGCGAAATAGTGTTGTTTGCTGATGACACATCCTTGATTTTTAAAACAGACAGACATGACATTAACTATGACCGTATTAATGATACCCTCTCTAAAGTAGTTTATTGGTTTAATGCTAACAATTTATTGCTTAATGCCAAGAAGACAAAATGTGTTAAATTTGAATTACCTAACGTAAAATCGACTAGTCCAAGCATAGAAATAAACGGAGAAAAGTTAGACCTTGTTAATAAAGCAGTCTTCTTGGGAGTGACCTTAGATAGTAAACTTCAGTGGTTTCCACATATATCGTCCCTGGCCAGCAGATTAAGCTCCGCTGCATACGCAGTCCGCAGAATACGTGAGCTTACCGATGTTAGTACTGCTAGACTAGTTTACTTTAGTTACTTCCATAGTATAATGTCCTACGGGATTCTCATGTGGGGTAAAGCGGCAGATATTCAAACTATATTTGTATTGCAAAAACGAGCGATTCGTTCTGTGTACCGTCTAGGCTCTCGGGTATCTCTCAGAGAAAAGTTTAAGGAGACTGGTATCATGACTGTGGCATCACAGTACATTTACTCAAATATTTTATATGCCCGTAAAAATATACATAATTTCAATAAGAAAGAAGATATCCATAATATTAACCTTAGAGCTAAGTCCAAACTCATGGTACCACGATTTCGTTTAACCAAGGTAAACAACTCTTTTATGGGGAACTGTATACGTTTTTACAATAAGATTCCGGAGCATATATTAAGTTTATCATTTCCTAAGTTTAAAAACTACATTAAAAATATTTTGATCGAAAAATCATATTACAAAATTGAAGACTACGTGTTAGATAAAGATGTATGGAAAGACGACATGGCTCCAGAATCCACACAAATTTGATTCAAAATGTATTCCATAGCATTTAAGTTTATTTGAAAAGAGCAATCCCTAGAGTTTCTTGCTCGTTCTTCTCAGGGAGATCAGCGTAGTGAACGAGCAGTGCCTTAAATGTGACGTTTTCAAGTGTAAATTTATTTTACCTATGGAATAAATCATCTTTGACTTTGACTTTGACTTTGACTTTGTTGCCATAAAGTAATTTATAAGAAAAACTGCTTCAACATGCCAAATGAAATTAAAATGTTGCAAGGACATACTTTTAAATTACAATCACAAAATGTCTTTTCACACATTGCTTTTAAATTTACTTAAATTTGAAGTGCAATTAACAGTAGAAACCGAACATGAAATTAATATTTTGTACATCTGCTTGCAGGTTGAATACAATGTACCTAATTTTATTTAAGACCTTTATCATTACTGTATTCTGGCAAATAAACTTATTCTATTCTAATTTGAAATTCGTGAACGATAACATCATGATCAAACCTGCACGTCGAAGAAGCTTCACAACCCTCGGAAAACGTGTAAAATCCTCACCTGAAAGGAGACCCGTATCCTCCAGTGGGACGTATAAGTGGGTTGATGACGATGATGAGGCCATGCGCCATTTTTTTCTGTTTTGCATAGCATAGACCCCCTACCTTTCTAATATTTTTTTTGCGAATTTATACCTTACACCACCATGGTACTCTGGTACCTGCCGACTAGAAGAATCATGACCACCTATGGTGCAGTCAGAATTTTTAATCTCTTTTCTTTATTCCAGCTGACTTCTCGGAGCCCTACGTAAAAGAATCCATCAAATACTCGTTCGATAAATTTCCACAATACTGGTACGCTTCAGAAGAATCGCTACGACTTCACAAAAAGAGAAAACACCCTTACTCGGGCATGTATAATTACAACTGGTTCGGCACATGGGGTGAAAATTTACCCAACAGCTAATGGTAAGTAGTATTTTGGTAGGATTTTGAAATTTGAAGCTGGTAACACTGGAATTGATTTAAAAAGATGCGAACGTAATTTCAACTGGTGATCGTAGTTGTCGCAAAAAACTTGAGAAAAATATTTAAATTCGGAACGTTCATTGGTCAACAGCCAGCAAAATTAAATTTACTCATGTCTTCTGCTAGGCTCTTGAGCTTTGGAAATTCAAAGAAGCACAACTGCTCCTGCATTTGACGTAATTAAAGGGAGATCTACTAATTGTCCTAACCTGTAACACCTTACATCGTCCAACTTTTTTTTTATTATGTTCTACTGCTGGACAAAGGTCTCCCCCAAAATCCTCTATAGCCCCGCACTACGGAAGCCCTGTGTTGCGGGTGCCACACACATAGACAACCACAAATTACACCCAAACTCGAGAGAAAGAAATGTTGGCCATACAAATATTTCTCCCGGCCCGTGAATCGAACCTGGGACCTATGCGTGGCAATGCATGGTGAGTGTTCGGTCACGGAGGCAGTTAACGTTCTCCCAATACTCCCCTCAAACCTATCAAGATCGTCCCGCCAAACGCCTTCTCAGCCGTCCATGCCATCTCTTTCCATCTTTGGGCATCCAAGGAAGGAAGGCGCAAAAATAACGTAGGGAGGTTACCCTTCAAGGACCAGAAGCTCTTTCTTCCAGGCGTTCTCTATGCATCCAACTTAGCAGTTTATAATTCGGTCGACTGAATTTTTTTTTTTCAAGGAGAAAACCGTAATGAAAAAACTACATTTACCAAAACAAAATGGTGACCTCGTCGCCCACTTCTCGGGTTGCATCCAGCTAACGTAACTCGCCCAATTCTATTTGAACTTGGCTGTTTTGCTCCCCACATCAGCAATGCCAGTCATCGAATGCAGCACTGTATTGCGTACTCGGTCAATATATTTAAAGTCTAGAATGCTACGTTCCATCGTCCTCTGGCAGATCTTGAATTTAGACTTCTGGAACTCGGTCAGCGACTATGTCTGTTTACCGTAGATTAGAATGGGCAGGATGCACATATCGATGAGTTGGGCGCAAAAATAACGTAGGGATGTTACCCTTCAAGGACCAGAAGCTCTTTCTTCCAGGCGTTCTCTATGCATCCAACTTAGCAGTTTATAATTCGGTCGACTGAATTTTTTTTTTCAAGGAGAAAACCGTAATGAAAAAACTACATTTACCAAAACAAAATGGTTAACGAAATATTTTTACAACACACTATTTTTTACACATCTTTGAAATTTAAATCTTAAATAATAAAACAAGACACAAATCAATACAATTTGTAGGTGCCCATGATGCTGTCACGGCATTCTTACTAAAGAGGTTTACTGTCATGATCTACGATGTATCGAAATACGGTCGCATCTTTTTGTAACATCCTGTATAGTGAGGTCATTATAACTTTGTACCAAATTTAAATTTAAAAATCACCAGTGAAACAAAATTAACACCAAGTCTGAATTTGGAAGACCAAAAATCTGGGAATAAGTTATAGTGAACGCATTAAGATTAGGTTTTTTTGGTAGGATATTAAAATTCGACGCTGGCAACACTGAGCTGGTATTAGCAATTAAGGGTAGATTTACCGCAATATTTTGGTAGAATTTTTAAAATGTGATGCTTGTATTATTCATAGACGTTGAAACAATGGTAGCTTATTAAAAAAAGTCATGATTTTTATTTTTTAATTGTGACAATTTGTGACTAAACAAGGCAGCTATCGTTATTTTTTATTAAAAAACTGGCAACTTTATGTAATTTCTAACTAGTTTTTACAAACAAGTTTCTCATAGCTAGTTTTTGGCAGTTAGATGAATTTTTGTTGGCATTATAAAAATCAATATTGGTTAAAATTAATTATTAGACTTTATTTTTTAGTACCTATTTAGGTTATTTAAAATCATGGCTTAAACATAAGAAATTATTAAACTTATGGTATTAGACAGTACGTCCGATGTTTTATGGGTTATTTGTGAAATAAATATCAGTTTTCACCCAGTATGTTTATAATTTCACACTAATGTCAATTCTGATCACATTTTTAAACTAAACTAAATTTTGAGATAGGTTGCATTTTAGACATTTCAAGGTTTTTTTTGTAATATCAAGTGACAGGGCGCACAAGTCGTGCGCCTGGTTGTAAGCTACACGCCTGTCCTTGACAATTGCAGTGTCCTCAGAGCTTTAAATCGCAAAGATCTGAGGGGCAATGCCACTGCGCCCGTCACCCTTAGACATAAGTTGACAAGTTCAATGTTATTTCACCAGCACCCTTACCCTTGAATGTTAGCATTACTGCTTGGTGGCAGCAATAGCTAAAGTGGCAGTACTGCCCTGGACGAACTCTTTCACAAGATACTCTACTGCTACTAAAATGGTTTAGTATTAAAAATGTTACCAGAATTGACACCTGATGTTTAAAAGATCCTAATGTATTAGCTGACATCGTTTTCGAAACTTTTCCAAGTTGGTTTTTGGTGTTCCTGAGAGCGCTGTGGAATTGTATTCATTGCTCCAGTACACATTGATTACCTGTAAAACCACGAACACAATGAAAACTATAAGAAATTTAAAAACATGTGAGCTAATAGATTAGTTTTTTTCGTTATCATTAAATAACTTTGTGATGTTTCTGAACAATTATTTGGCCAGTAATTTCAAAGTTTTAAGTTGCATAATAATTTAAAACAAAAAAAGTATTAGACTCTGCCGTGCTGGCTTATGAATTTAACGTTAATGCAATAAATTTTGAAAATTGACAAGTGCAATTGTTGACCTTTTTATGGAATATTTATGCAAAAAAAACAACACTAGCGCCACCAAACCTGAGTCCAATAGTAACTTGTCAATATTTAAAATAAGACTATAGTCTAAATTAACACCAATTAATTACCTTATGAAAAGTAGAGGCTGACAATGTACACAAGTAGTGTTTGTAATTAAGTATACTACAATTTTTTTAAACAGGTTACACCCGCGATGCGATTGTTAATAATATTGTACACAAACGTTCAACTCGTTAATTTTAAGTAATCGATTGCATTTGAAGATCAATCATGGTTTTATTCACATTATCGTTCGTATGAAATTGAAATTTATTATATATAAAAGTGTAAACAAACCTACATAAAAGTGTAAAGCTATAATCAATTGCGTTTGTAAATCTGATATGGTTCTATTGGCATTATTATTCACGTAGAATTGAAATAAAAAATAGTCTTGTCGAAAATAAAGTGAGGTTATGTGTCAAGTAACTTTTCACAAACACTTCCCGCCAGTCGGGCGTATTTGTTTACATTTTATCTTTGCTAAAGTACTTTACAGCGGGGGCACATGATAATTGCATGAAGCCCCTTGGGAATCTCGTGCAATGTGAACTTTAACCGTGATTCTCTTGTACCATTTGCGCGAATTCATAATGTGCACGTGGGCTTACGGTACTATTATTTAAAATCCAAGCTTCGGAGCTATCCGGGCTTTACGAATGTTGGCGATTGCATTAGTAACATTAATTTAATATTAAAAAAATTTATTTGTCTTTAAAATTTTCCAAAGTTTACCTAACTGTTTCCATAAAAGATGGCACCCACGAATAAACGTGTATCATGAAAACGCCATCTTTACAGGTAAAATAAAAGTAGTAAAAATTCAATAACTCTGCATAATAGAAAACGACAGAAATAAATTAATCTGTGTGGTGGAGGTGTATTGTTTTATTCGTGAGTAATTTATATTTTCTCTACGAAAACATTCGTGTTACATTAAAATAGATTATTTACTTTGGAGGTTTATAATAGATAACAATTTTATTAATAATAGAACATTATAGTTTTTTTTGTTTTATTATTTATAAACTTTTGCACGTTTATTCGGAAGGGTCGTCGATAAGGTAAAAATTTGAAATATCATTACTTTTTACGTTATTACCGGACTAAAGACTCTTAATAATTATTATTAAGAAATTATAAGCTTGGAATTTAGCATATAATCCTGTAAGAAGATGTAACCTGTTTAGTATGATATCTTTAGACGTGCCTTTAGCGTTTATTTTCTTAATTGAACAATTTATTACATTCCTTTAAGGTTTAGAAGTTGACATTCGACACTTAAATGCGTAAAAAGGCAGGGTAGACTTTAATTTATTTAACTGTCGCTAAGTAAGATAAGTGTTCAACTGGGAAGTAGAGGAAGATTTTATCATAGTAAATAGTGTAACTCCCTATTCAGTGCATCAATGCCTACACTTCGTTCGTAGCGTAGGATTGTCATTGTTAGATTATTATATTAGTTGTTCCTACAGGTTGCGAAACAAAGTTGGAAAAAAGTAAGATGTTCATCACAATATTTATTTATTTATACGCAAGTTTCAAAGACCCATAAATATATACCTTATAGACATAACAACACACATACATAACAATATAATAAAACACTAATTATTACACGTATTCTCTGCGACGTGTGACGCAACGTAGGTCTCCGGTAGCTGGCCTCGGAAACATGTTCTTGTGTTATAATAAAATAACCTTTGTCAAATGTATACTTATATATTGATATTTTAGACTAGCATTGCGGTTTATTACTTCAAAAAAATATAAACGACAATGGCGAACTTATAAATTTTTATTGACTTTTCTTATATTTCAATTTGAATCATAATTGAATAAAATATATTCGCTGTATTATTATATCAAAATAAACTACAGAAGCTTTGAATAAAGTTTATAGAAGCACCTCAACGTAGCGTCGAGAACTTTTTGTCAGTTTTACCACTTTCTCGCATGGCATATTTGGAGAAGGAATTATCTGTTTTATTTTTTGTAATAAAGTAGTCAATCTCTCATTGCAAATTGGTTGATTCGGTATATTTGATATTACGTGAACTAAATGTAGACCAATCGACATGTAGGCATTGAAAATCTCTTTTTGGCAGCTAGATGTCACTCATCGTTAAGAAACTAAGAAATTGATATTTTTATTGTAGATATCAATCCGGTTACATACTAATTAGTCATTTGAGTTTCATTTAAATATAATTTTATTTCCAGACTTAGACATTACGTATAATTTGAAAAATGTAGTGAATTTATTTTATTCAAACTTGCATGACATTATGACGGTTACCTATCAGTAAATGATTATCACTAATATCAGGTTTCTTATCACGGTATGGCTTCTTTTTATTTTCCCGATATTTCAGAACGGTTGCACGCTCCGTTCGCAACCGTTCCGAAATATCGGGAAAATAAAAAGAAG